CTTCAATTTAGCGATTAACTGAAACTCATATCAAAGAGATACATTACATCTACAACAAAGGGATGGTACGCATTCCTGCCAAGATAAAAGCTGGTATCGAAGTCCATGTACTCAATTATTTTAGCCATAACTGAAGTTTCTTGTGAAACTGAGAGAGAGAAAACAACACCAAATCACTCTTAGATTTTAGCCCTTATAACCATTTACGCCTAAATGCTCATCATAAGTTACCAATTACGTATGCTAAACGGGGGATATTTACGTTACCATTGAGTCTTATTTTATGACATTATGCTCAGCGACAGTACTAAATCCATAACTCCTCATTATGTGATAACTATAACCAAATAACTGTTTGGAAAATGCCTGCAGGACGATTTGCAATATTGAAACTTCTCTGGATATTTCAACTAACTCCTTTTTTACTTCTAGTCCGTATATTAGTATTCTAACTTTTGCCTGATATATTTTGATTTGATCCTCATTCTTTTGTCTTTGTTCTTGTCTAATCTCTAATTTAGATGCTTCTCTTTGAGGTTGTGTGATGGTATAACAACAGAAGGCAAGACAGCGGAGCAAACGTATATAGTATTCTGTTGCTAGTGCAGTGTTGAACTGTGGGAACATGTGAGAACGATATTCCGTTGAAACACATTGTTTCTATCATACCATAACACTCGTTCCCCTCCCCATCAAATACTTTCGACTGAAGTCAGTTCGATACTTTTGGTGCTGGTGTCTTTATTTGCTTGTCTTACTGCATCGAGTTTCGGAGCCTACTGACGTTCACCCGCTTCTCTCTGTTTGCATTTCTGATCATATATACGTGACCCCCTCTCACGGTGACTATACATGGTCTTTCCAGCTTTGGAAGCAGTTTATGTGCCCCTAGTGCATATTCACCAGTGTTTCGCCTCACACTATCATATGCTGCCTTCGCCCGACCTCTCAGAAGCGTTCCAAGTAAATACCCCTTCGCTGACGGATTTTGAACACCACTCAACTCCTCAACAGCCTTGAAGTCCTGGAAGAAGATCCACATGTCTCCTTCTTCAAAAACTGCAAGGCATAGGCTTTCCATTTGTCGGGAGGCAGCGACACCGAAAGTTACAGCAGAAGGCGAGACACCGGCGCAAAAGTATATAGAAAGTATTACGTTGCTAATTTAGTGTTGAACTGTGTGAATATGTGAGAATAACATTCCGCTAGAACATATTTTCCATATCATACCACCACAGTGGTGTTGATAATGTATTTTTTGTACGATTGTGGTAATGTTAGAGTGAATCAATATCATTCTGACCTTGGACTGTCTGAGAGAATAGTTGCTGTGTGATTCTTGCGGACAGAGTTTTGATCCCAACTTTTTGAAAATGTCCCACTTGATTCTCAGGTACTTCTTATGTTTGAATTTCAGTTAACTCGTCTAATTCTACAGTACTTGTTTGTCCTCAAGAAACTTTTAACTTTTAACTACCTCTACCGGCATTGTTGAGGTAATTTTGCATTTTTATATGTCAATGTTGTTCGATAGTAGCCCAGAAATTATTGCGTATAACCATCTTTTTCATCGGACTTCACCGATGATGTATGTCTGATTTCCCACAAACTGGAAGATATGCAAGTGAAAAGCAACAAGCTGGCGATAGATGAAGCATCAAAGATAGGACTCCCAGTAAACATAGAGAAAACAGAGGTGATGAAGATTCCTGGCCAACATCACCAACAGCAACAACAACAACAGACAACAATCAGCATAAATGGAAGGAACCTGAAAGAAACAACCTCCTTTACCTACCTACCTAAGAAGCATCGTTTCAACTACAGGTGGAACTGACGAGGATATCAAAGCTAGGATCAGGAAAGCAAGACAAGCTTTCACTACTCTCAAGTCTGTGTGGAGGTCAATAGCACTCAGCATCAAAAATAAGATCCGGATTTTCAACTCCAATGTGAAGTCAGTCAGTGCTACTTACTATACGCACGGATCAGAGACTTGACGAGTCATAAAGAGCATCTCAAACAAACTACAGACCTTCATCAACGGTTGTCTTCGCTCAATACTCAAAATCAGCAGCAGAGATCTCTGGGAGCGAACCAACCAGGAACCAATTGTGAAATTAATAGGCAGGAAGAAATTGAGACGGATTTGTCATACTCTGAGGAAACCATCAAGTGACATCACTAGACAAGCCATTGCTCGAGTGGAACCCGAAAGGGAAGAGGCGAGTTGGTCGTCATGCAAGGGTGACTTGGAGGAGGTCATGTGAAGAGGAAATGAAGGCATTTGGGCAGACTTGGAGCTAGGTGAAGACTCTAGCAGAGAACCGAACGCAATAAAGACGCGCGGCTGAAGCCCTATGTTCCTCTAGGAATTAAAGGAAACAATAATAATAATTCATATCGTCGAGACATTTGGAAACTGTGAGCAACTCAGGAAGTTTTGATTAGCTATACAGACAGAAGAATGCAACCCTAGTTACCTGCATTCAGACAAACTTCATGTTAGTCTTAGTTGCTACAATAACCGATAGTAATTCAATTCAATTAATGCATAAATTCCAGCTCAATTCTCGAGCACTTGGTGAACTCAAGTGATAGGATCCCGCATAAAATAGTATATCATCATTTCTCACGCATATTGTGATTGATTGTGCGATCAATCATTTCTCATTGCTGCGAGCCGACTTTGTTGTTGTAAAAAAATGTATAAATACCGTGTGACTTTTTCCTAATAAATATGCAGTACAGTATCTGACAGTCACAGACCAGCCTTTGTCTTTTGATATTTGCGTAGCTCAGTGAATCGGAAGGCACAACAGACAAGTGGGCATATTAGGGTACCAGTCGAGTTCATTACGGTTACTACCAATTAGCAGGTGCAGACATAACACAAGCCACGGAGCTTCACCTGAGTCGTCTTTCAAAATCATCTACAAGGTGAGATCAAGTGGTACAAAGGGCGTAAGGTTTTAGCACTCGTCCATACAACCCGAACTCTGTTTACAGAAAAGGTTTATCCAGTCTCTTATTCTACCATGGTCTTAACCTCTTCACTAGTCATTCCCTATAAAAAAGATTTTTTTAGATTTTCAATTTTACTTTCAGTTTGCTTTTACTTTATTAATTAATTCACTATTAGCACTCCCACATGTTCCTTTTGTACATTTTCACACCCTCTTTACACTTGTTAAATTGACACTCAACTACCTTTATTCTAAAGAGTTGGTTTGTAAAGATTAGATTTGTTTTTACGAATCTGACCACGGATTGATATCAGTTAGAGAACCACTGAAAACGAGGGAGTACTGGACAGCCAGCAGTTTCATCCTAGTTTGTAGTTCATTGGCAGTACACATCCACCACAAGGAGTTCGAACCGAAGACCTTCCGGTCACAAGACAAGCTGGCTCGTATAATATTCAGCCACTGAGACCCGATTTAATGGCCAGCCCATGAATTCTAACTTCTACTAATTCATAATTTAGCGCGACCACCAACCAATGTCATCGGCAGGACATCCATCCTCACACTTGACTGGGTGGACCTCACTGGTCACGACTTTTCACCAGAACTCCATGAAATTCCGTCCTGTAACAAGTCAGTCACTAGCAAGCATCACCTTTATTCTCAATCAATAGCAATTTTAACCTTACCAAATTTCTAATGCTTTCTTCCTGTGTACCGTTGAGTATTACGTAATTTACAACTTTTATTTTTACTTCTAAAGCCACTTCTGATTAATTATATCACTTATGTCACCCCCCTTATTACTCAATAACAGACTACTATACATTTCTGGTAAATATAAATACGACTGTACAGCCTCTATGAAGATGATTTTGTCGATGAAAAAAAAATTTCGTCATTGAATTTGTCTTTTATTTTCTTCATGACTTAATGGAAAATTTCACTGATTTGAAGCATAAAATTCCTATCCAGTGTAAACGTTCCCTAGTGAAATGTTTGTTCGCAAGGGCCCGAAAAATATTCACGAGTGACACACTGATGGATGAGTTTCGACATATACATTCAGTTTTATTAGCTAATGGTTATCCGGAAAACTTTATCACTTGTCACAGTAAAGAAAAACCACATCTCGAAAAGACAGCTTCTGTACCAAAGAAAGCTATCTTTATTAACCTACCATTCAAGGGTGACCAGATTATGCAGTTGACAGCTAGCTCAAAGACTTCGGTCAGCCATCAAACACACATTCAACGCCGCCACATCTCTTTTTCTCACTTGCTGAACATTTTCGATCCGTGTACCTACGATTAAAGGGCAAAATTCTGTGAACTCTACTTCAAACTGTATATACATGTTCAACTTCAGCTGCGGTGACACCTATATAGGTAGAACCAACAGAATGTTCCAATGTCGTCGTCGAAAAGAACATGTTACAAAATGGCTACTAAATTATATAGAAAATCCCAATGCATGTAATCTGAATAGAAATCCAGCATCATCATCCATTGCAAAACACTTATTAATGTCAGGTCACAAAATCAGTATTAATGACTGTTTCACAATTATTTCACATAACTCTAATTTAAGGTTGGTTATTGAAGGTGATGGAAGCACTGTGGATTAATGAGATACAGCTTAAACTGTGTGTACAAAAAACAATAGACTTCAATCTTCGTCTACCATGGACAACATGACCTATTTGAATATGATTGGTCATTAGTATGTACTTATGTTTTTATTTAACTGAGTAATTGTCATGATCTTTATTTTATTACTGTTAACCATGTTAGTTGTAAAGCGGTTGTAAAGAAATTACGAAATGATATCATCTCGAGAAATTTGTCTTTATAAATTCTTATTTTTTCCAACCGAATAAAACAAAGAACCAGCATATTTTACACATAATAGAAGTGGGATTGTGACTCATCAGTTTTCGCATTCAACACTCTTCAACCGATGAATCCCGGTTTCTATTACCGCACACAATAAGTATGACTAATATAACTACTATCACATGCAAACAAATTTATTCAGCGCACCTCTTGAGATAATCAACATCACAAATAAAATCAAGAAAAAAAAACACAGAATAGAAAATATCTTTTGTTTTTTTCCTCAAAAAATCATTATAAGAATATTAGTAAGGTAAAAAAAAAGGCAGTTGAATTTTGATAACAAAACGAATAACACTTCCAAATTCTAATAGGGTAGATTTACTTCATTCGATTACATAGCCAATTATGCAGTGGTATCGCCAAGAAACCAGCTCCAGCGATACCAATTGAATCAGAGACAGCAGCCATTGCCATTGCATACTCTCGATAAACAGTATTCGTCTAGGATAATGAATAGAGACAACGGTTAACAAAAAAAGGGGGAAATCAAGATATTATTGAAGCATGCTGAATATCAATTTGAAAACAAATTTCACAGTTCATCATAGGAATTGACTACGACTTCTTTTAAAAACCAAGATCATTGAGATCAAAATATGCGCTTCCATGTCAATTAGTAGTGTATACCATCATGGTGAATTGCTTACTTTCCTGGTTACCATAAACTGTATCAATCTAATCATATATTGTGATCTGAGTAACTTCGGATTTCAAATGGAACTGTATAATTTGTAAAATTGTGAATTCGATTCCACATATATATCATCAATCTGTCTGTCTGTCTGGATTCAACATAGAACTTGGCACCGAAGTGCAGCAGTTCGAGTTGCCACGTTCCAAATACCAAACAAAGGTAGACAAGAAAACGAGTGAAGAGAATCAGTAGAGTTTTTACAAGTATAAGAGTGAAACAGAATGAGAAATGGTGGAAAGGAATATGAAAGATTACAGAGATTGAATACATCTGCGCCATTGACAATGATTTTCAGCCACGTCACCTATTGTCTCCAGCCATTGATTCTTAGAGTCCCGAGGGCGGGCCCCAACCCGGAAGTCTGCATCTCCCTACCTGACTCAGTTTAACTGTCAGGGATTTCATGGATTGATTGATGCAATGTTTTTGTTTGGCCACCACCGCCCATCGGGGGAGGCGATGGTTAGACACGCGCAGCACGTCACCTAGCCATCTCAATCTATGTAACTTTATAGCCTCATCGATTGATTTTTCCTCTTTGCCCAATACTCTACGCCTAACGTCAACATTACTTACCTTATTATACCACCTAACGTGAGAAAGAGATCGTAGACATCTATGATCAAAATCAGTCAACCTTTTCATGTCTTCAACTCGTATTGGTCATGTTTCAGAGCCATAGAGAAGGACTGAACGAACTACTGAGCAGTACACACGTCCCTTGGTTGATAGTCGGATGTCACGCCTACGCCAGAGATGGTGTAAGTTAGCGAATGCAACTCGAGCTTTTTTGATCTGTGCTGAGATTTCGTCACCAATCAGTTCGTTGGTGCTGATACAACTTCCCAAATAGGTGAAGTGATCAACACGTTCTATCACTTCACTCCCTATCATTAAGCTAGGAGTTGACGTAGTCCAGTCCTGTAGCAACATCTTACATTTTACAGGGGCGAACCGCATACCAAACCTACGAAGATTGCTGCCCAAGGTGTTCAGAAGATTCAGCATTTTGTCAGCATCCTCCCTTAAGAGGACAATGGCATGTGCATATTCTAAGTCCACAAGAGCAGCTTTCGGTCGGGTGTATCATCAGTCCGCTCAAGAAGTCAACCAGAATTCAGGTGGTTTGCATTGAATCGACTTAATAAGCTGAATTATGCTGGGCCTATCACTGATGAACTGTGTGCCAAACGAGTGAAGCTGGCGTTCAATGGCTAGTAAGCACCACTACTGACTGAAGTGAGTAGTTTCCGACTACAGAACATCATTTTGAAATGCAAGCTAAATAGATCAGATCAAGAATTGACTAAATTACTTTTGCTTCCATATTAGTTTGTTTATTAGATGTATCGCCCACAGTGAACAGTATTATTTACTGGATGACGAAGTTTCGAACACAATTTATTATTGTTCATAATCATTTCATCAATTATAATCACACGACTTCGAAACTTGAGTTGTATAGTTTTCTTTGTTCTCTTCTATTTGTCGTTGTACGGGTAGTAGAATTTTCCAGATGTCTGGATCGACAGGTGTTGAATCATTCCTATCACAGGTATTTGCAACTGATTCGAAAAACAAAGCTTCTGTTATCAATCTCTCCCTCCACCCTGCTGTTAAATCAGATTTGAGACGCTTCATCAGTCCGCTCCCACTGGGATTCGAACCCAAGGTCCTCTGGTTATAAGGCGAGTTCGCAGTATCATTCAGAGGACAGGCCTGTGAATTCCAACTTCTGCCAGTTTGAGACACAACGCAACCACTGGCCAATGTCACGGGCATATAACTGTCCTCTTGCCAGACTTAGTTGACCCCCCCCCCCGGAGGTCACGATTTCTCTACGAACTCGCTACGTAACCTGAAGATCCTGAGTTTAATTCCCATCCCAAAATAGGACGAAACGGCTGTCCAATATGTCTTCGTTTTCCAATGGTTATCTCTATCTGATGCCAGCTGATTATAAAACCTGTACTATAAAATTAAATGGCACCACAGTGTTCAAGCTTTAAACATATGATACATTAGTATATAAATATTTTATTCAAGTATTGATTTGTAGGGATTTGATTGATTGGTTACAGGATTTCATCATGAGCTGACATCAGTTAGAGGAACACTGGAAAACCTGCAGGGAGTACTGGAGAGCTGTTTCGTCCTAGCTCATTTGGGGCTCTTCATCAGTACACACGCACCTCCAGGGTTCGAACCCAGGACCTTCTGACTAAAAGGCGAGCTAGCTCGTAAACAATCAACCTACTGGAACCCGATCCAATGGCCCAATTCACGACCCAGCGCGACCACTAGCAAAGGTCTTGTCGTCACTCCAGACCTACTGTACTCTACTGGTCACGACCTCCCACTGCTAGAACCCCAGATAAGTACCTACCTGAATAGGGCCAGTCACTAATGAGCATCTCATGGCCCTCTAAATGATATCAGCTCATGATGAAATCCTGTAACCAAATATTTTATTGTTTTTCTCATAAAAATACAGAGACAACAAACACAGTTTAAAAACTTACGCGTTGTATAATATTATAAAATGTATTCACATAGGTTAGACCACCTAGACAGCCTTCATAAAATATCAATATAAATACAATCCATATATATGGAATGTAGGCATACATTACTTGTAATAAAAATATCACAAAATTTATAGCCTAGAAGGTTAGAAAAATAAAAGAAAAAGAAACAAATTAAAATCAACAAGTAAAATGTGACAAATCAATAATGAACAATAATAATTGATCGAAGAAAACATTGATTAAACGTTATTAGGAAGAAATTATTTTTTATGCGTCTACACTCATAGTGTTTGGGGGGGCCAACAGAATTTTATCAAGCTAAATGACTGGCTAGGAAGTCGACCCCAGATCACGTGAGTGGTTGCAAAGCATTCAATCATCGAAACACTGACACACCGATATTTAAGTGATTGGAGGCAATTAATATGTATATCCATTGTACTTCTACATGAGGTCAGTTGTGATCTCAAATAGCTCAGTGAAAATTTCTGACTCTATTACTGCCACACTGAATGATGCGAGTTCAAACCCCCTTCTAGAAGGGATAAGGGTTCCTTCAAAGTTGGAGATATGCTTTCCTGATGAATCCCAGCAAGTACGAAATCTATTATTATTATCATTATTATTTCCTCTAATTCCTAGAGGAACATAGGGCTTCAGCCGTGCGTCTCAATTGCGTTCGGTTCTGTGCTAAAGTTTTCACCTGGCTCCACGTCTGCCCACACGTTTTCATCTCCTCTTCACATGACCTCCTCCAAGTCACCCTCACACTGACAACCAACTCGCCGCTTCCCTTTCGGATTCCACTCAAGCAATGGCTTGTCTAGTGATGTCACTTGATGGTTTCCTCATAGTATGGCCAATCCACCTCCCTTTCTTTCAGCTTGTTGCACAATCCGTTCCTGGGTGGTTCGTTTGTTCCCAGAGATCCCTGTTGCTGATCTTTTCTGTTCGGCCATCTGATCTTGGGTGAAGTATTGAGCGAAGACAGCTATTGATGAACGTCTGTGGTTTGTTTTAGGTGCTCTTCATGACACGCCAAGTCTCTGATCCGTATAGTAGCACTGACTTCACATTGGAGTTGGAAATTCGGATCTTGTTATTCATGCTGAGTACTGTTGACCTCCAGACAGACTTGAGAGTAATGAAAGCTTGCCTTGCTTTCTCAATCTTCGCCTTAATATCCTCATCAATTCCGTCTGTAGTTGAAACGATGCTTCCCAGGTGGGTAAAGGAGGTTGTTTCTTTCAGGTTCCTCCCATTTATGCTGATTGTTGCTGTTGGTGGTGTTGCCCAGGAATTTTCATCACCTCTGTTTTCGCTATATTGAACTGAGGTCGTATCTTTGATGCTTCTTCTGCCAACTTGTTGCTTTTCACTTGCATGTCTTCCAGTTTGTGAGAAATCAGACATATATCATCGTCGAAGTCCAAATCCTCTAAGTTTTTTGTGTGAGTCCATTTTATGCCTGTTTCCTCGCTGCACGCTGCCTGTCACATTATCCAATCTACCGTAATCAGGAAAATCACTGTCGATAGTAGGCAGCCAGCCTTGTCTTACTCCCACAAAATCTAGGTCCAGGGTATCCCGCCAATTCTAAAAAGCTGCACCAGAAGATAAATAAGCCTGTATGAAATAGATATTATTAATAATATAAATTGAAAGCTATGTGCGCATTATAAACTGTCCACTTACCTGTAACAAAGACAACAGCCAAGTGTTTTCAATATGAATAAAGCTGACAGATGATCGTGAAATAAATACACCAAGTTGATAAAGTACTTGGTACCTAAACAAATCAAAATTTAAAAAAACATTAGAGAGGAAAGAACAAGACGTTCAACGCCCTACCTAGTCAACACCTACTTACATGTCACAGTATCTCAACTAACTCATCATTCAGAGTCATTTACACAGTAATAAATAAGTAATCTACCAAAAGAAGTGTGTTTCCAACTTCTCTGTGGACGACTGCAGAAGTCGCCTGACTTGTGTATCGAGAAGCCGGAGTATCGTGTTTCAAAGAGACTAGTCCAACAACTACATTTAACATGGATCTAGGTCGGTTCGACTCGTTTTTTATGGGTTTTTTCATTCCCATCAGTTATAAAGATTATTATTTCACAATTTGTTTTCATGTTCATCCCTTCCACATCTGTCTTCGCTAAAAAATATCTAACATACTCCTCAATTATTTCCTAATTTCGTGTATTTTTGTTTCTAAGCCCTTTGTAATCTCCTTCGTTTTTATTTATGTGGAAATAAATAATAATAATTGTATCTATGTAAACTGATTGAAACGGTAGTAGACGAAGAATCGGTAAACGAAATGTTTATTTATGGAAATTGGTATCTCTGTACAGCCAAATGATGTACACCTTATCTTTAACGTCAGACCATTTACACACAGATCTTCCGTGTTGTGCCTGCTACTTCTCGCCTTCCTTCAATATTGTCTTTCTTTGTATTCCTTTCACTTAGTCTACCATGTATCTCTACAATACTGTATCATAATTTGCCTTCTCTGACATCAAATGTATCTCCTTGTTATATGATGTTTTTATGCCAGCCGATGGAGCTCTTTTTATATACTACTGAAAAATCTTATCAATAACACTCGCCACATTTGTCCCTCCATCACCAGGTAAGCAAGTTTAAGGAATGCATCGGCGGCCGGGAATCGAACTCTTGACAGCGTGTGTGGTTGATGAGTATACTACCACTGAACCACCTGAGCACAGATATATATAGCGCGACCGCAAGCCAACATCACGGGCAAGTAACTGTGTCTTACATGACTTGGTGGACACGTGATTAAGACAGGAACCAATCAAAGTCCCTTAAAACAACACTTGATACTTAATCTGACGCCCACTAGCGACTGGTTCTACACGGGAAGTTAACTGCAGTTCAGATGAGGAGTCATAACCAGGGGGATCCATCAATTCTGGTAAAAGAACATCTACTCGCCTATGACACTGGCATTATTATTATTTATTTTATTCCTTTAGGTTCCCAGTGGAACATAGGGCGCCTTCAAGTGACAGTTTTGAAGTTTCGGTAGCAGTGGTGTTGGATTTTACGGGATCGCATTGCAAGCCACCTCATGCGCAACCTTCCGTCTTTACCAGTTTTATTACTTACTAGCTTAGCGAGGTAAAGGAATGTGTCGGTGGCCGAACCCCAAACCACATTGGTTGGTGGTTGCTCTCTCTCTCTCTATATATATATATATATATGTCTGTTTTCGACATAGGACTTTGCACATATGTGCGGCAGTTCAAGTCGCCACAATCCATGTAACACACAAAGCAAGAGAAGAAAGTAGGAGAAATGTATATTAGAAACAGTAAACAGAGGTGTGAGACAAAGGAATAGTAATAACGAAGAACGATATAGTTTCATTGAAAATCATAAGTCAGAAGAAGTGGATGCATCTGCGCTAGCCATTGATAACGATTTTGAGCCATGTCACCAATTGTTTCCAACCATTGGTTTCTACCGTCCCGAGGACACCAACCAGGAAGTCTACACCTTCATACGTGGCCTAGACTAACCGTTGTAGATTTCATTGACTGGTGCCATGTTTTCGAATGACCGCCGCTAGCTCTTTTCCAGCCTGTCCCTATATCAGCTAACATTGCCCGTCGAGGAAGGCGATGACTAGGCATACGTAACACATGTCCTAACCATCTCAGTCAATGTAATTTCACAGCCTCATCGATTGATTTCCCCTCCTTACCTAGCACTCGACGCCTAACCTCCCTGGTAGCAAGTTAATCCCTGAGTTGCTGAAGTGAGTTTGGGTTAAGTCCATTAGTACATGTATGATGAAGTTGAATAGAAATGGGGATGATGGGCATCCTTGACGGACGCCACTAGTCGTCACCACTTCAGATGACAACTCGCAGTAAGCCCTCACCTGGCTGCATGAGTACGAGTAGAGTGCCTTGATCAGTGCAATGTATTTTCTCGGCATTCCGTTTACAGCCAAGCATCGCCAGAGAACCTCTCGGTCGACAGAATCGAATGCCGCCTTTAGGTCAAGAAATATAATGGTTGTTGGACGCCGGTAGGAATGCCTATGTTCTAGAATCTGTCAGAGGTGAAGATATGATCGATACACACTCTTCCATATATATACATATATATATATATATATATAAATCAGAAATTGGTAGAAGATGGAATTCATGGGCCATTGGAAAGGGTCTCAGTGACTGAATGGTCTATGATGTCACCTTGTAACCAGGGAGTCTTGGGTCCGAACCTCAGGGTGTGCGTACTGGTGGGGAGTTCCAAACTAGGATGAGACAGATGTCCAGTACTCCCAGATTTTCCAATGGTTCTCTAACTGATGTCAACTCATGTATATTACTATAAATGGTAGTACCAAGCAACAAATTAAGTTTATACAGTTTCCACATTACAACGCGCCCACTGCTGATCAGGATTTTGATTGCATAACGCCTAAACAACTCTACAGAGACAAGAAATAACCTCCATTCTCTATTGAGGATTTACTAAATTAGATGACCAGTAATAATATGAATAATGATAACCAAAAACATAAACATAGTAGGTGTATTTTATATGCTATTGATGTCTTACATCATGATATCGCCTTTAATTTAGACAGAAGTGTTAAATATGTTCAGTGTGCCTTCCGTGATTACACATCTGCCTTTGACTCTCAACCTAGGACTCTTCTGCTAAACAAGCTTGCTGAGACACAAGTGGGGTGTTGGATTAATAAACGGTTGTATTTTTTACTTTTCTGATAGAGAGCAGTACATTGTAGCTAATGAGAACGCTTTCACTGCTTCACCTACTCTAGCTGATGTTCCTCACAAGGTGTTGTTCTATCTCCCAATCCTGTTTTCTTTCTTCTTACATGAATTGCCCCATTCTGATGAGGCCAATTTTATCAAGGAAGCTGATGATCTGATTGCTTCCAAGCCGGTTACTTCTCAGTCAGATTGCTCGGAAATGAATAACTTTTTATCAGAAATTACTCAGTGGTCCTTGTCCAATGCCGTTAAGCTAAATGCTTCGAAATGTCAGTTTGTTAATTATTGCTTTCAGAAACAAACGTGATTTACTTGAACTAATTCGTCTTTTACCACCGAAGGCACTGAAGTTGAAACTAAGTCGAATGTTAAATACCTTGGATTGTCTACTTCCTCTTATCTCTCCTGGTCTTCCCATTTCAAGTTGATGCCTAGAAAGATATTTCATCTAACCTTCTAACTAAGGAAGTTACGACAATTTGGTAGCACACTCACTCTCTACTACTACAGTTCGTTCATTCTTCTACTCTACCTTTTCTTTTTCATTGCTCCCCTCCCCCAACCTTAATCTCTCCTAGGTTACTTAAGAAACATTTTGTTACACTGAGATGGGTACTAAAAGCTGTCAGTAGGGCAAGTGGGGAGTCACTGAACCAGTTTGTTAATACTGTTGCAAATACACCCATGAATTCATTCAAGGAATTAGCAAATGCTATATTGTCGGTCAGTCGGTCGGTTTCCGACATAGAATTTGCACATATGTGCGGCAGTTCAAGTCGCCACAATCCATGTAGCACACAAAGCAAGAGAAGAAAGTAGAAGAAATGCATAATATAGTCAGCAAACAGAGGTGTGAGACAAAGGAATAGTAATAACGAAGAACAAAACAGTTTCATTGGAAGTCATAAGTCACAAGGAGTGGATGCATCTGCGCTAGCCATTGAAAACGATTTTGAGCCATATCACCAATTGTTTCCAGCCATTGGTTTTTACTGTCCCGAGGACCCCAACCAGGAAGTCTACATCTTCCTACGTGGCTTAGACTAACTGTTGTGGATTTCATTGATCTTGGGGATCCTCTCTATACACAACTTTCATCCTGCATCTCCTCAGGTAGGCAGAATTAGAAGCAACTATAGAGGCCTTTATACTCAGACGACTAAGATACCGTATTTGGCAAACATTCACGTGATGATAAAAGTGTAGAGTATGACACTACAGCCTGCCTTTCTGGGAAACACTTGGCAAACGGTTCTTTTCATTTTTTCTTTTAATATTAAATTGTTGCAAATGGTGTTTGTCTGTTTGAAGATCAACAGCATTCAGCATGAAAATGAAAATAAGATCCGGATTTCCAACTCCAATGTGAAGTCAGTGCTACTCACAATACGGATCAGAGACTTGGTGTGTCACGACGGCCACACCTTCATCAACAGCTGTCTTCGCTCAAAACTACTCAAGATCAGATGGCTGGCCAGAAAACATCAGCAACATGGATCTCTGTGAAAGAACCGACCCAACAGGAACCGATTGTGCAACAAATATGCAAGAAGAAATGCAGTTGGTGGATTGGCCGTACTCTAAGAAAACCAACCATCAAGTGAGTGACATCACACAACAGGCTATCACTCGAGTGGAACCCGAATGGGAAGTAGCGAGTTAGTTGGTCGTCAGTGTGACGGTGACATGGGAGAGGAGGTCATGCGACGAGGAGATGATGAAAGCATGTGGATAAATGTGGAAACTAGGTGAAAACCTTGGTGGAGAACCGAACACAATAGAGACGTGCGGTTGAAGCCCTATATTCCTCTAGGAACTAAAGGAGGCGATAATAATATTACTGTTTGCAATAAAACTATTATTATTACTATAATTAAAGTTATATGAACTGTGCTTGCTTTCACTGGACTACTATCTCAGTTAAAACAAAATTTAGCCTTCAAAAAGATACGAATTTAACGGTTTGATATTAGTAGTAAAAGAGAAAAATAGATAGACA